TAATTGTGAGTTAAAATACAATTTTGTTCGATTTTATGAGAAAAGAAATAGTGATTTCGTCATTAATATATTTTAACATAATATCACATTCTTATTATATATAAATATATGCGGGTTTTATTTTTAATAAAAAAAATCTTTAGCTAAATTTAATTATATTTAACAATGACATTTATTTATATTTAAGATTATAATTATTAAGAATATATTAGTCCAATTCACAATCGCTGTTGTATGGTTGTATCGTAATAAGTCGTAATTTTTTATTATTGTTTCAAACAATTTTATTTTAAACATTTTTATGACATACAACAATACGACATCGATTGTGAATTGTACAATTATATATTTGTTTAAGAGCATTATAAAATAGTCCAGTGTAAAAGGGCAGTTTAAGGTTAAAGTTTAAGCAAAATTTTGGCAAAGTAGTTTATAGTAGTGTAATTTTAGAAAAAAATGTTTTCTTAATACCGGTCTTAATATTTTAATTATATAGTATCGAAAAGAATACAAAATAGGGCAATTGGCGTCAACTTTTTTATAATAAATTATTTCCTCGAAATTTTTCTTAAGAACTATAATCTAATGTGCTCTCAAACCAAAATTCTTTTTAAGATTCGTCATGGATTAATATTTCACTAGAATTCAATATCGAAAGAAGGACCAAAGATTGAATTTATTATCCCATTTTTAACCTTTTTTATATCCATTAGCAAAAAATACATATTAGTCGTAGGTCCACAAAAGTTTCTATACTAGGTCCTTATAAGATCCTAAGATAATCTGGATATATCCTTTTATGTGTAAGAATCTCAACGGGATAAACTTTACTTTAGATCCTATTAAGTTTTTCTTTTGAAAATTATTCATTACTTATTAATAGGTGTCTAATTCAATTTTGTCGGGCTTTAACCTAATATGTATAATGATTTGTAGATAAAATTATATTCTGAAGGGGTTTAGGGTCAATTATGGATCGATCCTGAAATTCCAAATTCCATTGCTATACATACTAGAATTTCTAGGACAGTTATGAACGCTAAAGTCATTTCTTGAAGGCGACCCTAAAAAGGAACTAGAGTGAAGTTTGGCCCGATTTAAAGACCTTATATGGGATCTATATTCAATTGTGAGAATTTGTTCCGTATATATTGAATAGGGACTAGATGAAATCGTGAAACGATATCTTCATTTTAATAGCCAAACAAACTGCATCTGTAGTTTAGGTACCTTTCGGATCCAATCGTGATTTAAACGGACATACAGACATTCATACCTAGATCATCTAGTAAGGACCCTGATTTCAACGGACAGACAGACGTTCATACCAGATAAGATCATCTAAAATGGACCCAGAATATATAACGGATGTTTTTTTGTAAGCATGACAGAGCTTTGAAAAGGCTTAACATTAAAGATCATATTTAGAGCATCTAAAAAGGACCAAGAATATATAACGGAAGTTTTTTTAAGCATAACGGAGCCTACAAACGGGTTAACTTTCAATCGAAATCTCCTTTTCTGACATTTCATCATGAATAGCTTGGGGCTTTACCAACATTACTAAATTATTCAAAATTTTCTTCGAAAATCAGGCATCTACATCGGAATCGAGTTTTACGCAAAATTCTCTTAAAGGATTTGCTGATAAATGAAATTGCCACCTGAACTGAGACCAATTCCCAACAAGCCCTAGATCAATTACATGCAGAAAAATTTATGCTTATAGGACCTTATTTCTTCAGAACTTAAGCCAGAGCTCGAGTTGAGCTCAATGGTGATCGTTATAGCACCATGATCAGTGATTTTTTGTTTGATAATATGAATGACACTGATCTGGACCTAATAAATGGACGCCAATATCGTATGATTTGTCACCTTTTGATAATTTTCTGTAGGACCATGTATAGTCTATAGTTTATAAGTTAAACCAGAAACCTCCAAGACGTCAAGGCCATTATTGTGACATACGGGAAGCAATGCTCGAAAATGTAGTAAAAATTGTACGCTGAGAATGTGCATGAAGGTCTATGGAGCTGAAAAAACTCTCTATACTTTTATGGGTCTAGATATGACTGGAATGACATCTTTTTTGATATTGGGTATAGAAATATCTGAAGAAAAAAGATATATATGTGATCTGATCTTTTTAATTTTTCAATTAGAAAATGATGTTATATAATCTCAACTCTTCAAGAACTTAGATCGATTCTTATAGATCTACGAATCAAATTTGCGTATTTAATTTCAATTAATTTTGAAAAATTATACAATTGTGCCCATTTGTAGTTGTGATAAATAAATTATAAGATCGGTACCTATTTATAAATATGGCAGTATTTGAAATACTTTAAGTTTTATATTTTTGAAAGAAATTCTATTTGAAAATTATATAAATAATATTTTATATTTGATATAACTGTTAAAGAACTTAATAAAAGTAAAAATCTGTGGGAAGTTAGTGGACCCGTTAAAAAAGTCTAATAAAAGTTGTATTTTACCTAAAATATTTTTAAAATAAACTTAAATAAAAACCGATTAATTGATATTTATTTAGGCTATTCACAGTTTTCCATAATATATTACACATGTAATCTAATATATTAACTAAAACTGTAAACAACCTAAAATTTTTTGGAATTTTGTAGTAAAATTAAATTAAATCATATAATTAAAAAAATAAACTAATAAAATTGTGTATACATTTGATAATTTTTATAAAAATTGTTTATATATATTTAACTATAATTTTTATTATTAATAATTTTATATTTATTTTGTTTATATCTTATAAGATCATCTTTAGTCTTAAATGTATAGATGTAGGGTATTAGGTATGCGTGTGTGTGTGTGTTTCAGTAATTAAATTTGATTCATTTTTATCTCTCACTCTTACTCGCTCTAACTATTATTATCGGGCTTAACTATATGCTTAGGTGTTGTTTTTTTTTTAACTATTATTAATATTTTAGCATAAAATCTAACTCCATAGTAGAGAATACATCGAACAAACAATTAATATTATAATAGACCCTGTAATCTGCTGCGATTTACTTGTATCATAATCAGGTTTATCATTTTCCGAAATCAATGGTGCTGTTCGCGTAAATTCATCATCTATATCGTTAGATCTACGCGGACATTTCATCCATTTATAGGCCGAAGACATTTTACGTGGATGAGCCACACGCATTTGATCATCTCTGAACTCCCAGTAACCGTTGCCTTTAAAGAAGTACGTTTTGTGATCGGTATACTGGAAGGCAGCATCAATGTTGTAACCAATACCAGCCCATATAGACAAATCACGTGGATAATCTAATTCAACACGGCCCGTATCACGATCTAAGCCCCAATACAAGGTGCCGCTAAATAGATAAGTACGATTATTGTGTCCCCATATAAAGGCCGCATCTATGTGATCAAGTGAGTAGGGTAAGCCCAGTGAAGTCAAAGGTTGTTCTTGTATCAGGGTAACCGAATCGAATACATAGTATTTACGTCCTAAAGGGGGTTAAAGAAATGTGATATAAAGATTTTAAAAAGTTAAGAAAGTGCTTTAATCGGAGTACTCACCTATAAAGAATACAATTTGTCGTTGACGATTTTCGTAGACAGCATCAATTTTATTAAAGTGTTCGGGTAATTGAGTCCATAAACGTCTAGTTTCGGTGGGATAACCAGGGTATAGACCTCTATCACCTATGCGCCAAAGAAACTATAAGGAAAAAAAATAATTTGTATTAATAAAACAAGTAGGAAAGTATAGTCGGGTATGGCCGACCATATAATACCCTACACCATGAGTATATTTTAAAAATTTTTATTTTTCACAAGAAACTTTTATGTTGAATTTTACCTTAATTCCAAAGTATTTAAGCAATTTATTGATAAAAAACAAATTTTCTAAATGAGGCTTTATATAGGAGTATAGGTCAAACATGGGCCGATCCTCATTAAATTTGGGAACAGGATGTATTTTTAAATAATAGTTAATTATGTTGAGTTTCATTGCGATACAAATGGTTACAAGTCAATTTTAGACGTTTAAGACATTTTTTGAAGGGGGGTTTGTATGGGGGCTAGGGTCAAATAAGGGCCGATCATTACGAAAATCTGCAGTATCATTTATACTTATATAAAACTTATTTGTGCCAATTTTTAGAGAGATAATAGCATATTTGACGTAATTAGGGCATAAAAAGCCCAAATCGGGAGGTACGGTTGTATGGGGGCTATGTGAAATAATGGACCGATTTCAACCATTTTCAATAGGCTTCGTCCTTGTGCCAAAAAACATGTTTGGTCCAAATTTCATCAAATTATCTTGAAAATTGCGGCCTGTACCTTGCGCACAAGGTTTACATGGACAGCCAGCCAGCCAGCCGGACAGACGGACGGACGGACATGTCTTAATCGACTCAAAATGTGATTCTGAGTCGATCGGTATACTTAAAGGTGGGTGTAGGACCAATATTTTTGTGTGTTACAAACATCAGCACAAACGTATAATACCCTCCCCACTATAGTGGTGTAGGGTATAAAAACGTAAATTTTGTTTGGTTCTACATTCGATGAAGACTCACCTGTCCCTTGAATATAAACAATTCACCACGTATCATTGAAATGGCATCATATGAGGTCATACAGTTATCGGGTTTCATTTTTCTCGGCTTTGTGGGATGAGTTATGCGACGTTTAGTCGGTTTCGGTGGTGTACGTTGTGGTGGTTGAGTTCTTGGTCGCCATGTTGTCGTAGTAGTGGTAGTTGTCGGTCTTGTTGTAGTCGTTGTTGTTGTAGTTGGCCTTTGTTCCGGGTAGGGATACGATCGTGAGGGTGTATTGTTATTATTGTAATATGGATAATGTTGGGTGCGATGATGCTGATGATGATGTCTATTACGATCAGTAGGATAATGTTGTGGATTATTTGGATAGGGATTATTTTGTGGATAGTAACGATTCGGATAATTATTTTGTGGATAATAAACTAAAGGTCTCATAGTTGTTGTGGTCGTAGTAGTAGTGGTGGTGGTAGTTGTTGGTCTTGGTTGCGGTTTATAAGAGCCCCAGATTTTGACCTTAGAACCATAGAGTTCTTGTATGGCGGTACGATCATCATCGGGTAAATCACTGCCAACTTGATAACCCTGATACCAGGGAAACATTATAGCCTTTTGATCGGAGGAATGTCCCAAGCCCAGGGAATGACCAAATTCATGTACGGCTACATTTAGTAAATCAGTGCCTGAAATTGTATAAAAAAATTATGCATACATTTTCATTCAACCTTAAATTATTAACAGTGTGCTACTTTTAACAAAAACAAACAAATATTTTGCCAAATCTGGCACAAAAATTACATAATTTTTAGAGAAAAGTGTTTTGTTTGCTCTAATTTCTACCCTTCCCCTTTCCATTACAAAACTAGTCCAATCAATCATGTTATTATTTGTTTTTTCTTCAATATTTTCCCCCCTAAATCATCAATCAATATCATTATCAAATCGTTCATTCATTTTTACAGGGACATACATTTAGAAGCCTTCGAATGAGGGCCATTCAAAACACTTTTTACTTCAATATTTTAACACTTTAAAAATAAAATTAGTTGTTTGAACTTTGATGACTTTTATAATGAGTCCGAATGACAAACCAAAGGAGATACAGACAGGAGATCTAATAAAGCAAAATATTAGAGCTAACCTCTAAGGGAGGTCTCCATTGAAAATATATGTATATACTATTGTCTAACTAACAACATCACCGATATCCATGTAAAATGTGTATAATGGATTAGATTGAAGGGCAAGTGGTGTTATCATATTTTCCGACAACCAAAAGGCAATTTGGTTGATATCAGCAGATAAGGTTAAATCTATCGTAAATCCATATTGGATTAAAGAGCCATAACCCTTCCAGTTGTAAACTGGACTGTGTACTGCTTCAACGAACGGGGTCTTGAGCTTGTCATCAATTAACATTTAATAGAGTGTAACAGTTTTAGAACTGAACTAGAACTGATCTGGAACTGAACTGAGCTACAACTAGAACTGAACTAGAACGGAACTAGAACGGAACTAGAACGAAACTAGAACGAAACTAGAACTAAACTAGAACTGAACTAGTACTGAACTAGAACTGAACTAGAACTGAACTAGAACTGAACTAGAACTGAACTAGCACTGAACTAGAACTGAACTAGAACTGAACAAGAACTGAACTAGAACTGAACTAGAACTGAACTAGAACTGAACTAGAACTGAACTAGAACTGAACTAGAACTGAACTAGAACTGAACTAGAACTGAACTAGAACTGAACTAGAACTGAACTAGAACTGAACTAGAACTGAACTAGAACTGAACTAGAACTGAACTAGAACTGAACTAGAACTGAACTAGAACTGAACTAGAACTGAACTAGAACTGAACTAGAACTGAACTAGAACTGAACTAGAACTGAACTAGAACTGAACTAGAACTGAACTAGAACTGAACTAGAACTAGAACTGACTAGAACTGAACTAGAACTGAACTAGAACTGAACTAGAACTGAACTAGAACTGAACTAGAACTGAACTAGAACTGAACTAGAACTGAACTAGAACTGAACTAGAACTGAACTAGAACTGAACTAGAACTGAACTAGAACTGAACTAGAACTGAACTAGAACTGAACTAGAACTGAACTAGAACTGAACTAGAACTGAACTAGAACTGAACTAGAACTGAACTAGACTGAACTAGAACTGAACTAGAACTGAACTAGAACTGAACTAGAACTGACTAGAACTGAACTAGAACTGAACTAGAACTGAACTAGAACTGAACTAGAACTGAACTAGAACTGAACTAGAACTGAACTAGAACTGAACTAGAACTGAACTAGAACTGAACTAGAACTGAACTAGAACTGATCTAGACTGACTAGAACTGAACTAGAACTGAACTAGAACTGAACTAGAACTGAACTAGAACTGAACTAGAACTGAACTAGAACTGAACTAGAACTGAACTAGAACTGAACTAGAACTGAACTAGAACTGAACTAGAACTGATCTAGAACTGATGTAGAACTGAACTAGAACTGAACTAGAACTGAACTAGAACTGAACTAGAACTGAACTAGAACTGAACTAGAACTGAACTAGAACCGAACTAGAACTGAACTAGGAACTGACTAGAACTGCTCTAGAACTGATCTTAGAACTGAATAGAACTGACCTAGAACTGAACTAGAACTGAACTAGAACTGAACTAGAACTGAACTAGAACTGAACTAGAACTGAACTAGGAACTGAACTAGGAACTGACACTAGAACTGAACTTAGACTGAACTAGAACGAACAGAACTGAACTAGAACTGAATCTAGAACTGATCTAGAACTGAACTAGAACTGAACTAGAACTGAACTAGAACTGAACTAGAACTGAACTAGAACTGAACTAGAACTGAACTAGAACTGAACTAGAACTGAACTATAACTGAACTATAACTGAACCTAGAACTGAACTAAGAACTGAACTAGAACTGAACTAGAACGCAACTAGAACTGCACTAGAAACTGGAAGAACTGAACTAGAACTGAACTAGAACTGATCTAGAACTGATCTAGAACTGATGTAGAACTGATGTAGAACTGATGTAGAACTGAACTAGAAATGAACTAGAACTGAACTAGAACTGAACTAGAACTGAACTAGAACTGAACTGAACTAGAACTGAACTAGAACTGAACTAGAACTGAACTAGAACTGAACTAGAACTGAACTAGAACTGAACTAGAACTGAACTAGAACTGAACTAGAACTGAACTAGAACTGAACTAGAACTGAACTAGAACTGAACTAGAACTGAACTAGAACTGAACTAGAACTGAACTAGAACTGAACTAGAACTGAACTAGAACTGAACTAGAACTGAACTAGAACTGAACTAGAACTGAACTAGAACTGAACTAGAACTGAACTAGAACTGAACTAGAACTGAACTAGAACTGAACTAGAACTGAACTAGAACTGAACTAGAACTGAACTAGAACTGAACTAGAACTGAACTAGAACTGAACTAGAACTGAACTAGAACTGAACTAGAACTGAACTAGAACTGAACTAGAACTGAACTAGAACTGAACTAGAACTGAACTAGAACTGAACTAGAACTGAACTAGAACTGAACTAGAACTGAACTAGAACTGAACTAGAACTGAACTAGAACTGAACTAGAACTGAACTAGAACTGAACTAGAACTGAACTAGAACTGAACTAGAACTGAACTAGAACTGAACTAGAACTGAACTAGAACTGAACTAGAACTGAACTAGAACTGAACTGAACTAGAACTGAACTAGAACTGAACTAGAACTGAACTAGAACTGAACTAGAACTGAACTAGAACTAAACGACTAGAACTGAACTAGAAATGAACTAGAATTGAACTAGAACTGAACTACAACTGAACTAGAACTGAACTACAACTGAACTAGAACCAGATCTGAATTGGAGCAGAACTTGAAGTGAATTATAACTGAACTTATATATTCTTGAGTTGAGCTCTATAAATTTTCGGACTAAATATAATTAAAAGGAGCTATTTACAAGATTTGTTTAATCACAAAGATTTTCAAATCTGTCTGGATTGCGGAGAACAATTTCATATCAATATTCCTAGAAAATTTTTCTCCATGTATTCATTCATATTTCCCAACAACTGACATGATATAAGTGCCTAATTAAGTAACAAAAAAAAAAAAAAAAAAGAAAAAAAAAAATCAGTTCCCCACTGATGCTGCAGCTCCTTTTCATATTTTAGTCTGCCAGGAGATTGAGTGATGGAAATTCATTTGTAGGAAAACTAAATGTATTTTTACGTTCAATGCAAGAGACTGATTAAACGAGTGGAAGCAGGATAATGAGCTATAGATAATTCGATATTTGATGATGAATGTACATCATGGATGGTTTATTGTATTTTAGACAGTTAATACAGTTTTGTAAATTGTAAAATTTATAATTCCTGCTAAAAACAAACAGATTTTTTGCCAGTTTAAATAACTTTAATTTTAAACTAAACAACAGTTGTTGCTGTTATTATTATTTAGATTTCGATTTGGTGGGCTAAAATGTAATATTTTGGCATTTTTTTCGACGGGTTATATTATGACGTTTATTATGGACAGGTTGGATTTTGGTTTTTTTCCCTAAAGTTTATAAATTTGATTTTGGCTTAATTACATTTTGTTCAACTCTTTTTGTGCAACATTTTGCAGCGGGTTTGTTGATAAACTAATCTTTTATTGAATTGAATACGGTGTAAATATGGGATTGTGGGATAACTTATTTTATAATTTTGTTTATTTTTTTTTTTTTCTGTAGGCAAAATACATTTTTACTAATTATGGTATTTGTAATTCAATCAAAACTTAATTGTGCAATGTTGCATTAATATGATGATGGTGTTTATTAAACAAATTCTTTGTGTTCAGAAATTTGATTGCATTTCTTTTATGAGGAAATAAATACATTTTTATTTAAATTTAGCATTAACTTTGTCAAGATTTTGTTAATCTCAGTAGATATTAAGTGTTGGATTTTATTCGCAGAATAAATTTCCTTAGCACTCAATCAGCAATTTCGATTAAAGAAGATCAGTTCTAGTTCAGTCTTAGATCCGATCTAGTTCAATTCTAGATCATTTTTAGTTTAGTTCCATCTTATTTCTAGTTTAGTTCTAGTTCTACTTCAGTTCTAGTTCTGCTCCAGTTTTGTTCTAGTTCTATTCTAGTTTTGTTCTAGTTCTGTTCTAGTTCTGTTCTAGTTCTGTTCTAGTTCTGTTCTAGTTCTGTTCTAGTTCTGTTCTAGTTCTGTTCTAGTTCTGTTCTAGTTCTGTTCTAGTTCTGTTCTAGTTCTGTTCTAGTTCTGTTCTAGTTCTAGTTCTGTTCTAGTTCTGTTCTAGTTCTGTTCTAGTTCTGTTCTAGTTCTGTTCTATTTCTGTTCTATTTCTGTTCTAGTTCTGTTCTAGTTCTGTTCTAGTTCTGTTCTAGTTTGTTCTAGTTCTGTTCTAGTTCTGTTCTAGTTCTGTTCTAGTTCTGTTCTAGTTCTGTTCTAGTTCTGTTCTAGTTCTGTTCTAGTTCTGTTCTAGTTCTGTTCTAGTTCTGTTCTAGTTCTGTTCTAGTTCTGTTCTAGTTCTGTTCTAGTTCTGTTCTAGTTCTGTTCTAGTTCTGTTCTAGTTCTGTTCTAGTTCTGT